AAAATTTAAATAATTGAAAATATAATTGTGATTAAATTATTTATATTTTTGGGAGTGAATAATATTTTTAATAGATACAGTCATTAATTTCATATTTTATTAATTAATCATATTCTAAAGCAAGAAAATATAATTGTATTTTACTATTAATAAATTTTTATTTCAAAATTAGATAAAAATTATTTAAAATTAATATTTATTGAGAAAATTTTTGAATAATTGAAAATATTAGAAATTTTTCTAATAAAAAACAATATTATTTAAGTAATTGCAATAATTATTTTCTAAAATATAATGCAATTTTTTATTAATTTATATGTAATTTTATTTTAAACGTAAATTATATGTAGTGAAAATTATTTTTATAACAACTTCTAAGAGTTTCAAGCTGAAAATTGGATCAAATGGAGACTAAGCAAGGGTAAGAAGCTAACTTAGCCAAGATCTTGAGGCACAACCCATGAGTTATAGGCTTTTCGGCTAATGCGAAAATGTCCATTTGCTTAGAGGCGAAGACTTTAGGCGTAGAGATCTTTAAGTATATGGAAAAAAATCTGATGTGCGTTAGAGAGATATTGCCGAGCCAGTAAACTAAATCATCGATTGTAAGAGATTCAAAATTTTCAATCTTTCTCTTATTCGGGTCTCCATGTTTGCAGATGAGAGGCTTTCCATGGCAGTTGTATAGAAGAATTGTTAGACATAATGCGAATCCTCTTTCACGATAAAACTTCTTGATTCCCGACTGATCAAAATCAATAAAACCCATCTGCTTGTAAACTTTATCACAACATAAACGAAGCCCATTATAGAATTCATCAAAGAAATTTGTTTTTTCCGCGCATAAGATATTTTTAGTGTTTCAGAGAAGTAAACTTTTTGTGATTTAACAAGACACCATGATAGCCAAAGATGACTTTTGAGTTTTTTTATGTTTAAGCTTTTCTAAGCAATGGATTTTGACATACTTGTACACAAAGCTGAAAGGTTATCACATTCAGAAAATCATAAAA